GTACCATAGCTTTAAGCAATACTTCTACATTTCTTTTATATATTTTGCTTTAGCAACCTGATTCTTCAGCAATACGAAACCATTTTCAATAACACAGAATTAGGGTTTTGGCCTCTCTTTTTTAAATCAGTATTGTTTATTATAAGTACACTTCTGAGCCTTAGTAATTTCTTTCTCCCTAACACTGACAAAGTGTTTTAGACTCTTTGTGAAAATGAGTGAACGTAAGATACTATGTGCCTAAAATTTTTAAGTGAAACTAAATGATACTCTTTAAAGGTTCTACAGAAAATAACGTAACTTACAAAAGCATACAGTTACTTAAGGAGACCAAATGCTTGCCATTTAATACCAGAAGTTGTGGCATATATTTAGCACAAACATATGGAGAAAATAAAATTGGATATTATACATCACACTTGACAATGAGTTTCTTGCCCAAGTAAAGAATGATGTCTGGATCCAAAATGCTACAACTCAAAATATATAACAGAAGTTAATGAATAGTATGTTAGCATCAGATAACATGTATATGGGATTACACATCTTTTTCTGTCACATTATTTATGTTCTCTAATATTACAGTTCACTGGTATTAGCATCAAGTTACAAATCATAAAACATATTTAGAAAGCAGGTTGATCACAGACAAGTAATATTAGTGGAGATGAGCCAACATCAAACTGCCAACATAAAATATTGGTCTCCAAAGGTACGATTCTACAAACCCTTATGATTGTGCACAGTCCTAGAAGTATTAAAGGGATTACTCACACTACTTACTCACAGTAAAAGCTATGTGCAGGAGTAAGGGGTTACAGAATTGAGTCTTAAGAGGACTTTTGTTAACCCAAAAAGCAGACATGCAAGTGTATTTTCATGTAGAAGCGGAGCACTTTTTAGTGATTTAAACCAATCCCAGAAGTATATCATTCATGGATATGCCAAGGGAATTGTTACTCACTTGCATTTCCTATTTTTAAAGCGATGTCATTATTAATCATCTTATCAGTTTCTTAGTTTGGTATGTCTACTAAGCATCTATTGCTATGTAAAAGTCAACACATGTACCTGTGTTCACAGTTTTATGTCTATACAGGACTAACTTGACTTGTGTCACTGTCTTTTGCATTTTCTTCTGTCTGCTCAGAACCCAAGTTCCTCCCAAAACTTCAAAGCTGGAAGTTTTAAAATTTCCAGGTTTTAATCAGTTTTCTGGTTAGCCTACAAAACGTAAAGAAACACCAACCGACTATATCGTAAAAGCAAATGTCTTAACTATCCTATAGACTTTAACTGTTTCATTTGGGAACTTAACGTATCCTAAAATCCTACAAAAAAAAAAGATAAACTGTACAGTGTCCTCTGATGTCTCAAAATCTGGATTCTTCTAACACCAGGAGGAAAAAGAATTCCAATAGAAAAAAAACTGTTAATAAGGAGAAACATTTAAAATAAAATCAGCCACCCTAAAAGAAAGTCACTCGGTTGTATTTGGAAGGGAGAATTCATATCTTCTTAGTATGATGAGCACTACTGATACGCTTTGAAAATGATCCTGAATAGGAAAAGGTATTTGAATAAAATACTGTAATCATATTCTTCCTGATAGTTGTATCATAAATTATTTCTACCGTTTAATGCAAGGAGCATTTGAACATCAGCTTTCACTTTAAAACCCAACTCTATTCCCACCTCAGTTCCAAAGGATTTAGATCTGATCATAAAAGTATGGTTAGAAGACGAAGTTGCATCACGGGCAGGATGGTACAAGTATCATTTAAATCCCTCGCAATTGGGCTTGTGACTTTCGGATTCTAACTGCTAATGGAACAGTAACATAGCCAGCCAAACTCCAACTGGTTAGGACAACAGGTTAAGCCTTAACTATAGACAATCAATTGTCTAATTAATAAAGAATCTCTTTTCAGGTAATACTCTGCTACATGACAGCATGGTTTATAGCATCCCTCCCAAACCCTACAAGTTTCATGCACCTTTTTTGCCTTATTGACATATTAATACTCCTTCAGTTCTATGAAGTTATACTCATTGAAGATAACTCCAAAGCATTTAGAAGAATTATAACAGTGTACAGGAAAAAAACTTTGTTTTCCTTTCTAATGTTCAGGTAAGGTCTGTTGGTCTAGGGGGACTAAAGTAACAAACAACAGTTTGCATTTGCTAATTCACACAGACTATTAAAAATAGGATCACAGTGGTTTGACATAAAGTTAATTTTTTAAAAAATGTAGCTTAATTTTCTGTCCCCTTTTGTATTACACTTGTTTCATCCCATTCTGGGAAGCAATACTATCGGATCAGCTCCCCAGAAATATACAAAAAGAACAGTTTCAGGTGAAAACTGGTGTCATGTCATGTGCCCCCCCTCCCTTTTTCTTTATTTTTAATTTTACAGGCCAATCTTTGCTATCAATAACCAGTTTTCCTCAAAAATATAATTCCAATTCTTTTCCTGAGCTGACATGCCACTGAAAAAGATGCTTAATCTTCCAAATTTCTTTTGTATCTAGGCATACATTTCTACAAAGCCACTAATTAATCTTCTTCAGTGAACAGCGTGACTATCCTTCACACTATCCTTTTTCACACAGTTGACAATCCGAGCTCCACTGGTAAAAGAAACTTGCATTAATCCAGAACTTTTTGGGGTATCTGATAAACCTATAGCCCTGGACAAAACAAAACTTGTTCAATTTAAATGGAAGTACTGCTAGCTGGATATCACTTTGAATCCAAGTTCTGGAGCAAAAGACATGTTTACAATAAAAACAATTTCCCCTAGCATTATTCTAGGAGCATTGCCATGCACCAGACAGCTCCTCAAATCTGATGCTAAGAGACTAGTGCCTGCTCTTCTCTCATCTAGAATTGATCACTGCAGTGCTTTGTGCATTACCATATCTAAATATACACACTCAAACCTTTAGCTGCTTGCAATTTGGCAGCTAGTGTTTCTATCCCTACTTAAAAATTTAGAGGTTTTCTTCAGTCTAATTAAAAAAAATAGTTCAGCACAACACTGATTTTTTTTTTTTAATTTAGTTATCAGTAATGTGATGAACTGTCTGTGATTCTATTATATTACATATCTGGCTGAAATAAAAATAAAATCAAATGCACTATTTTAATCTTAAGGAACATAATCCATTGTGAACATAATTTACCCTTGACACATTCTCTTCAATTTAATTTTGTGTCATCTAGGACACAAAAATATTGACTTTCTGGAAATCATTTGGAGTAAATTGTAAGAGTTCCAGCCATACTACAGACCAAGTATTTCCAAAATATTATTTCAGTGTATGCTTCTAAAACAAAGCATTTCTAACTCTACAAAGACCGCTAAATATTCTTTAAATGTAAATGTTTTTATACTAAAGTACAGTGTATTATATTTTAGTAAGACAAAAAAAAAGTTATGGCTGAATAAATGCTTCAAGAGAGTTATGCAAACATGAAAGAACATTGCACCAGGCAGCCACCACTAATATAACCTTACTGGTCTGTATAGGATGTGGATTTTTTTCCACCAAGGCTGTAATTAGGCACACACTGTAGACAACAAAGAAGTCTGGTTGTTCACTTAAGCTCAGAACACATCTCAAACCAAAGCTGAGTCAGTTTGGGCTTTCAAGTGCAAACCTATGATTTTCTTGTTTGATTTGGCATTACTAATAACCAGAATCCAGCTGTTCCTGGTATTTTTTAATTCTGTGATACTTCACTTTGTTTCTTAGCTTCACAAAGTAGTCCTAAAAAGCTCTAAAAGGTACACATAAGATGAAGCAGTGACGGTGGCTATTATCACTGGGAAGAAGTGTGCCAGCAACTGGGCGACTACCTAAGTGGCATGCACAGACCACTAAAAAATAAGTGATCTTACAAACTAGTCAATAATAAATGTTCTTTTTCAGTAAGTAGAAAGTCAGTCTAGAAAAACATTTTTCCATATTCATTGGCTTTCTTTTCCTTTATGAATGCCTGGCTTCAACTATGAAGTGCCTAGTCTAACGGAACACCATCTATCCATAAGACAAGTCCTGTTGAAGTCAAAAGGAAGTATTGATATGGGTAATTACACAGCCGTGCAAGCAACGGGATGCTACCTTGGCCACTTGCTGAAAAATACAAATAGTCTCAAATTTCTGTAATTGGAAGCACAGAATACTATCTTTAGAAGACACTTAGAAGTTTTTGCCTAAAGTTAGATGAAGCTTAAATTATCAAAAAAATAACGTCTTCAGTTCCAGGAAGAGGTTATGTTATGTCCTAATTTCATACCTCAAAATTTCGAGCTAATAAAGCAGCATTGGCTTGAAAAAAGTTTACAATTCCACTCTCGGTTTAAGTGGGAAGTGTCATACACATAGTTACACTAAAGGCAGCAATAGGGATTAGAAAGGTGACATACTACAGTCAATGATCTAGCGTGTGAAATACATTCCTTCTTTATAATACTATTTTACACTATAACTATCTTTATCTTTACACCTATTTTCTGAAATAATCTTTTGATCAATCTGAATGCCTTATTTAAAATAGTATTTTCCTAGCGTTTAATCTAGACCTTCACAACCAAATGCCCCACCACAGTAAGTCAGGAAGTAACTTCCTTTCTGTACAAATGATGTTAAGTTTTGGTATATGAAAACAGGCAAGTGAAGATGGAAACGTACTGCTGCTTGGCAGAGTATGAAGTTAATGAGCATTTTAACAATGCAATAGCCTTCACTAGCAACGTCAGATAAAAATTTACAATACATCTAGCATGATATACATTTATTTAGAATGACATAAATGAGCCCGCAAGACATGCTACGCTGTTCCTCCTCTTACCTGTGTAGAAGGTAACTCAAAGAATTCAGATGGGATTGAGGGGAGTCCAAGGGTAAATATTTAGAAAAAATATTTGTGCATATTTGGTGTTTTAAACATGACATAAAAATAAAGTACAACTCTTTCAATTGATATCCTACCTGAAGGTCTTTCACATTTGGGAATGGAATACCTATGGTTATAACTGCACGGGCATTCTCATCACAGAAATCCAAGCCTTCACTAACTTTTCCTCTGCATACAGCTATAAGGAGTGCTCCATCTTGAACAAGCCAGAGAGGAATATACAAATCATTCCCAGTGATAAACTGAATATCAGAAGAAAGCTTCACCAACATCTTTTAAAAAGGTAAACATAGTATAGCATAACGCACCGTGTATCAGTCTGGAAAAGGTGAGTGGATATAAAACTACTTTGGTAGAGGGATGAGATTAACTCCACTTTGATCAATAATATTGTGATTTTGAATATCAACTAACAAAATAATTTTGTACCATATAATATAGTGGTACTTAATTATGCAAGAACCATACGTACCTACTACAAAATTTTAAACCTTAAATTTTGCACTCTAAAAATCATGCTATTTATTTTTTGACATACTATCATTCTTTGTTCTCTATACTAATATTTAAGTATTTTGAGAAGAAATCCAATAGTGGCTGTAATATAAGATGGTAAATCACAGTTATGCAACGTACTATAAGTTTGATAAGCAGAGAAGCCACTCTGCGCCCTGCTGGACATGTAATTGCACATCCTTACACAGCCCACTGCCTTTTGAATATCACTCATTTATCACAATAACTTATTAAGCTGAGGTTAATGTAACTGTTTACACCTTATTCTAATTGTTAAGGACTTTAAGAATCCCTTTTTTTTTTTTTAAGCTTGAAGAGTCTGTATCAACTATTTTGTATGTCTGAAGAACGTACCTTTTTCTCCTTTACATTTTATTGCATCATAGTATATTTTCAGCAGTTCATCAAAGTCACTCTTTGCCCCTCCTTGGGGCTCTGCAATGACTGTCTTAACCAGCTCCAGGTTCCTCCATAAGCCAGTGTGCATCCAGCGATCTTTTAATTTGTCCAACAGCTGAAAACAAACAGAAAAATCCAGAAGAGCTGTAATGAAAAGTCAATCACTTGTACTGTTCAAATAAAGCACACAAAGACACTTATTTTAGTGAAATTACATTATTCAGTTTTTGTATTTATCAGTACAAGTTTCCCTACCATACACTGTTCCACAGCTATGCAACACTTTGTAAACATGATGGCCACTAATTTTGCTAATTAGAAACAGTGCAGATTTTTGAGTTATCAAAGCAAAACTCTCTAAATCTATGAGAGTGGCCACTAAAGAGCATCTTCTGGTATTCCTCAAAGCAAGAGGAATGTCATTAAAAGAAGAATGGAAATTACCTGTTTTTTCTGATTACCAAGTAAGTGATCCATAAGTAAGACTGGAAGCAAATTCTAAATTAATTTGAAACAAGCCTTTATCTCTTAAATTTCCACAATATTTCAATATTTTGAAATTTAAATAGATAAGTTGGGGGAGGAGGTATTGATGTAGGATTTATCAGCAGCCTCCTCTGCTTCTTGAAGGGCCTGTCAGCTTTGTTATGTCTACCAGATCCTGAACTGTGCACATTTTACTCCAAATCAGCATACGTTCAAATCTTGCAAGCAAATAAGCTTGTTGCACATTTAGTGCAAATGTAATGAAAATACGTAATGCATTACAAAAAGCAAAGTCTAAAATTACCACAGAAACTGAAGTCAGATGAGTGGGGGTCATTTTGCAGTGAGCAGTCATCGCATGTCCTTTTCTCATCAATTTCTAGACTGAATTTTATCAAGACAGGGAGCAAAAAAAGTCACTCCTTCACCTGACATATTTGTCTGACGGTGCACAGCACTGCCCTCAAGACAAGAGCAAGGCAACCAATACATTTTAGAATGAACCGAGTAGATCTGATTCAATGGACAAAAGTAAATACTTTATTTCACTCCTTTTACTGTTCAATGATCATTAGCGTGTCACTAACTATTGTGCAGTAGCGTTACTGAGCTTCACATGTACAGAGATTTTAAATTCACAGAATCTGTAATCAGGGTTATGCTCTTAACTTGTCTGCACTTCCCTCAGCTGCCCTCACTGAAGACTCTCTCAGGATTTTGCTTCAGGCTATATAAACTGCTCCATCTGGAACCTGCACTTGCCCAAGTTCATTGCTCAAAAAGCCACAGCACCCCTTAACTCCAACCCACTCGCCTTTCTGATGCACTCCAGCCAAGTTGTCAGGATCTTGAATGGTTAGATTGTTACAAAATTAATCTGTCCCATGTCCAAATATACAGTTTAAGTGTTACTGTGAGGCAGAACCAATGGTAACTAATTGTTGTCAAATTTGAGTTTACAGGGAGAACACTTGCAAATTCGTAGGAAGCTGTTTACAAGAACCCTTGCACATTCCATGTTCTCAACATTAAAGATCTGAATTTATTCTCTGATATGAAGTATTTGGATTGGTTCCTTTTGAGGTACATGTGGTTCAGAGGGGACAAATACCATGTTATTCGTGAATTTTTACTAGCTTTGTTCAAGCCTCTATTCAGGGAATTACACTTGCTTACTACTGATGTGACACCATTCTCAAGCAAGCACAGAAAGTCTAAGTGATTAATAGTAGGAACAGTTTCCTACACATACAGATGTTACTGTAGAATAAATCATATCTTCTAAATGTGTCTGTCCTACTGTTTGTCCCCTTCTCTACCAGCTCTGTCATTTCCTGGCAGCATCCTGTCTGTAATCTCTTTTTATATAAAAGGTCATAATACTATGACTGAGCAATGACTGTCCATCTTGCCATCCACAGCCTGCCACTGTGCCTTCAGTTCTTGGATATGATACAGAGATAATTCTGGTAAAGAAAAGAATCAAACAAATTATGTCTCTAAGTACCTCCATTTGGGATCTGTTAGAGCTGCCAGTGACTGTAATATTATTAGCTTTCCAGATTTCATTCTTCCTTCTGTGAAACTAATGTGTGCCTGGGCATTCACTTAGCAATCTATGCTGAATTCACTTCTAGCACCGCCTGCTGTTTAGCATGCATGACAAAAGGAGGCCGGTAAGATAATATAGACAGGATATATTTGGGTACAACTGAATTTGACATCTACATACATAAAACTATCCATGCTTTGACTTCTAAGGGTCACTTGCCCCTGACTTTCTCCTCCTCCCATCATCTCAGCTACTGAAATCAACTGGTATTTTTCACAAACACACTCTTATGAAGTGTTCTTAGCAGCAAAATTGTTTCTTAATTTAAGAGAACCGAAGTCTGTTGATAGTCTCAGAAAGGGCAAGATTCCTTACAGAAATTACTTAATCCCTCAATTCCACTGTATTTCTCTCGTATTTGAAAGAAGTATAACTTATATTCATAGTTGGAAAGATGTCAGTAGAAAACCTTCCTCCAAATTCTTAAGAAAACATATTTTCTCTTTTGTGGGTTACCCAGCCCCTCCAGGTAAGTATCTATTAGACCATAATAGGTTCAGGTTTCTTGTTTAATTGACAGCAACCATCACAATAGAAAATCTACAATTTTTGATGGAAATGTGTGAGTTATTCATTAAAATCTTTGGCAAGAATGGAACAATTCATTTAATTCACACAAAAGCTATTACCTCTTCCATTTAATGGAGTTTGCTAGATATGGAAACTTTCTTGTACACAGGAAAGTATGCACAAACACACACAATACCCATGCTATAGACACAGACACTAAAACAACAAGAATGATGGACATGACTGAATACAAATAAATAAAATATAGAACACACACATGCCTCATAAGAGCTAGGAATCAAGTGCAGGTTTCTCATAAAAAATTATTTAACTTTGCGTTGAAAAAGTGCAAATGGGAGCAAGATATAATGCCAGGAATCACAGGAAGCAACCATTAATGCCCACAGTCAGTCACTTTTTCTACCCAAGGGAATAATAGTTTCTGCAGTGGAAGGCAGTCTGAGTATATTTTATTAAATCCCTTAAAAATGGATTCTCAAATGGTTTATTAACAAATGGTCTTCCTCCAGGACAGCAGAAAATCTTGTTAGAAAGAATCTGTCATCTTCCCATGCACTGAAGGATGTTTACTTTGATAGCTTTTTCCTTTTTTGCTTTCTGCACTTTAAAGACACCTGTAAGCTATGATCCACAGAAACTATGAGCTCAGTATTTAGATTCACCATTCGTCTTTGTCAGCATCGCCCTTTTTAGGCAGCTTTTGCGGCACTCTTGAAGCTTGGGAATGGGGGAAACTGTTTTCTCAACATCTCTTGCCATTATGTTGCACTCCCAGGAAAAATCCTCTCATCCTGTGTCCACGAAGGAAAAGCTTTGCCCCTTTCCATTTGCCGCTTCGTTTTATACAGTGCCAAAAATTGCATTAGGAGTTTCCCATGTCATGAAGCAAGACCAAAGATTTTTTTAATGTATTTTACCCTAAGGCAAGTTCATTGTAATTTCCAGCATCTTAACAAAGTTGAAAAGTTAACTTGCAGCAACCAAGTTGCCGGGGATGCACTTTTTCTGCAGTATTCATTATCTCCTGACAGTGATTTTTGAAATAGCAAATACCTGAGATGAGGGAGGGTCTAACAGAAGACACTGTAACATGATGAGTTACTTATTCTGGTTTACAGTTCCCTAGCTCTTGTCCTGCTACAAGCACTTGCTACTAAATTTCTTCACATAGAATATTCCTTAAATATTTTAGCATCGATTCATGTAATGAATGGACTGCACCTTGCCAGCAGAGTAAAAAGGCATCACAGAAATAATCCCGCCATCAAAGAGTGCTTGGGGAAGCAATGGAACACTTCAAAATATGAAAGGATGTTCAAGAGCAGTACAGGACAAAAAGGATAATGACCTAAGCAACACCTGAGAGCAGAGTAAAATAACTCTGGCTTTATTGGCTAGTTTAACAACTATTAACTATTTAATAATAACTATCAGTTACAATTGTATTGAGTATTCTTGTGCGCCTTTAAAACTATATGCTGCTTTGTTACCCATACATTTATATAACCATAACTGAACAAAAGGTATTTCAAGGTGCACAAAATTTACACAAATATCTTGTAAGCCTCTCCAAAGTCTGCCATTATACACTAAAAAACCCACTTCTCCAAACTTTGGTATTTTTTCATCTTGTTTCTATGCAATATTTTTTTTAAATGATATGAAGTTCTACTTTTCATTGTTATTCAGATATGAAGGGTAGCTGGGGGGAGAAAGGAAACTGCCATTAGGTTTTTCTTAATAAAAAAAAAAAAATCACAGTATTGGCACCACTGTTAGTGCAAAAAGTCAGAGATTCCCAAGGGACTAACATTGATCTAAAAGCCTTTTCCCATGCAGAGCTCTTCATGTGTTTGCTACAAAAAATTTTCTTTTTGAATAAGCACTGCTTCAAATCAAAGTGTGTCTCCAGTGGGCTGGAAACGTGTTTGAAGGGTCAAATAGAAGTTCTACATGCAGTCAGCACAAAACTTTAGAAATGGAAAACAGACATCTACGGCCAGCCCAGAGGCTGAGCAACAGGACTTACTCCACTAGACTCCGTTTTGGTAGAACAGAGGGCTACGCTACACTTGGGGCTAAAAGGGCAGTCACTTGCAGAAAACAGGGTTATCATCCGATCCACCAACATGTGAAAGTGACACACAAAGACATACAGTGCTGCTATAATGATGTACTCTTACACCATCTTTTAAGTATCGGTCCGCTAATGCACATTCTACATACAGACATCAAAATTCTACATTTACATGAAATGGAGTGAGGAAGAGGTGGTGTCAGTTTTAGAAGCAGCTAAAATCTCGTAATACAAAGATTTTCCCTTTAATTTCAAGGCTACGTTACATGGTAGTGTGTTTTGGTTTTTTAAAATGTAATATGGACGTATGCATCTTAAAATCATTTCCAGCTACGGTTTGTAAAACCTGAAGTGTTTCGAGGAACACCAAATGGAAAAAAATGGCCTGGGCCATTCCCTGCTGAATTTC